ACAGACAACCTCTCGTCAATATGCGTTTTTTGCATTGCATTGCTGCAAAAAACGCATAAAAATTAGTATTGAGAGAATGAATTAGAACACAGCATACCTCCGGATTGATAGGTTTCCCGTTTTCGAGGTACGTTTTAATGAGTTCTTTAACAGAATCAAATTTAGCTTCGTCATTTATGCGCCAGCGAATTTTGTCGCCTTTCTTTTTCCTGCGGATCACCACGTGCCGAATCTGTTTTTTTTTAATCCACTTTTGTAACAGATATGTTCAAATTGTTCAAAACTATTTTCTTGTCTTTTGTTTTTGTTGCAGTCATAGAAAGGAAAAAAACAGAAAAGATTCCTTGTAAACAATCAGCAAAAACTTGTTCAGATCAAGAATACCAAGACCACCTGGGCTCTCAATGTGAATATCCTGTGTTAATGATGTTGCTTGAAGCAGCTGCGCCAGGCCTTCCAGTCCAGCGCTGCATGCCTTCAGTTAATATTCTCACATGCCCATTATATATGTTCCATTCCCACTGTTTTGGGAGTCGCTTACGCATCGTCTACTTTTTCGTGAATACTTTTTGCTAATGCATGACTTCTTCCGGCTATGAGCATCGCGAATAGTGCGGTATGTACATTTGCATTTTAATTCCTTGCGGTGAAATTTTGCGTGTGTTTAGCTTATGCTGGAAAATTTCCTGCCATAACTTTAGCATGTCCGTGTGTGAAAGGTATATATGAAAGTCAGGTTTTAACTTGTGGAGCCGCTGATGGCAGTGAGTCCCTTCTTAGATTTTAGAATTCTTAATTCCCTGGAAAAGCTGTTGCTACCGACTTTTAATACATCAAAATTCATGAATCATCAGCTTTTATACGTACCGCGGATGGGTCTTCTTTGCTAGAAACACGTACTGATATGATGAGTTCGCGTGGATCACCCACTTTCGGTTGTGTCACCCGAAGTATAAAATCGCCCACCTGTAACTGAAACTTGTATATTTTCTAGATATAAGATCAAACCGCAACCGCCTATAATCCTAAGCCACGACGAACAAGTCTGCGGGTGCATCGAGCTGTCCAGTGCCTCGCTAGATGGCTAGTAATTAACTAACAAACCCGTTTTGGCTAGTGGCAACTACAGCCATAAGATTGTGAAGACAACTGGGATGATGAAGTGCCAAGCAGAAATGAGCTGTAATTGTCTGCAGTGAATGAGCTGAAACTGAAGGAGCAGTGATCCTCTTTCTGGATGCGTATGCTAAATTTTCTTTTTCTTGGCTGATTTTTGGATATTTTCAAGTTTAATTTTTTATCCTTCAAGAAATTGTAATCAAAGTGAGAATGATTTTACTAGGAAACCTGTTTATAGTGTGGTGAGCAGAGATGCAAATTCCACCTCTTTCAGTAAGTAAGGGAGATCTTCGCGAGGAAGGAGTCCATGATAAAATTCTTCCTGTTCGAGTTCCTTGAGTGCATCTTGAAACCATGTCTTATCGTCATGCTCACCTTGATTCCCCATTCATGAGGTTTACTTCCTATAATTTGAAAATTTTTGGGAAAAATCCCTGATGTACTCAAGTAAAATAGATTTGACAAGATGGAAGATCCGGCAGGATTTGTGGAGATATCTGGAAAGACGAGTTGTCGTGAAACTCGGATAAGATTCGATGATGTGTCAAGAGGTTAATAACGAATTTTGAAGAATTCACTATGACTGAATGGTTTTCGACAAACATGAGAATTTCTTTATAGTATTAGACACTTCCTTTTCTACCTCACAAACTCTTCGACTTTTGTGGATGCTCCAGTAGCTCCAAATTTGACGTGTAAGCGTCTCAGTTTTGCTCCAGCAAGGCTGGGAAGTTCACATGTCGAACTTCAAATCGTGCACATTCTTCACACCTTGCGGAGCATCTGCGAAACATCCTGCATCTCCTCATGCATTGTTTATCCGTTGTCTAACAATGCTTGTAATCGGGTTCTTTCCAGAAGACATTCCTTTCCGATCCTCTTCTCGGAACCTGGCTTTTCGGCACGACTATTTTTTCAGAGAGCGAAGGGGCAAACCGACCTAATAAGTTGATTGGTAACAAGAAAACTACTTTTTTTGCCTAATTCGTTTCTTTTATACTTTTTAGTTCACGAAAATAAGTACATCCTTAGCATCTGACGTGCTAATTCTTAGAGAGCTATAAACATCCTATGCTTTATAACAACAGGAAAACTTCCCGTGTATATGGGCTGTATTCCCCCTGAGAATATTCTGATACTTTGATTACTTGCATTTCACAGTGTCGGTATTCGGTGCAATTGACAACTTTTCCAGTTGCTTTGACAAATGCTGTATTGTTTGGTAGTCAGCATGTTGGCGATCTTGACATTTTCATCTATTGTAAGCGTCGCTAAACTTATTGTTCTCCCAGTAGATGCACTTTGATAAGGCTTTAGTCGTTTCAAGATTTCATGTGTATGTGTGTTTTGAGTACTACCACTCAGAAGTAAGAATGTGACTTCTCATAAGCCTAAATTCGAGTGATAATGAGAGCTGCGCATGTGGATGGGCTGAGTTAGTTCAGAATAAATAGTAAGTGCAAGTTTACAACAGTTCCCTCAGCAGCTGTTATTTTTTCGATGTTTGAGTGCATTGACAGCTGCCTCTCATTTTCCAGTGGTTTTGATTTTTTTGAGCCAACAGTGTAAGTGAAGTCAAAATCTCCTCCGCACCTCACTGTAAGAGGGAAGAAGACTCTCGGAAGAAGCTCAAATAGGGCTGTTACTTTCATGCTTAAGGTTTCGACTCCAGCGGTGTAAAAAACAACTCCCCTAAGATTCGTCCATCTCTGTCGACGGTAAATTGATACTGCCAGAGAGACAAACCTGCCATTAAATTGCTTTTAAGCAACTTTCGAAAGATGGGGATCCATTGATAGCTTTTGCGGCGAGTGTTTGCTGCTGACGTATGATTACCGTTTGCTCTAATTTCGAGTGCATTTTGCTAAATGATTTGTCACTTGATAGTTCTTCTGTTAGAGCAGTGAATCAAAGTCAGTCAATTTATTAGGCATCAGTATCAGTTCAGTACAAATTATAAGCAGTCCTGTAAATATCCCATAAGTTTCCCTTGAAGACCATATTCGTTGAACTACGCAGTTAGATCACATGAATTGACGATTGCCAAACTTTCATTTGTCCGATTCCATTTGCTTACTGTGCCAGTGAGCCGTCTTTTCGCACGTTTTGGAAGAAAGATAGTACAATTTGTATAGTCGGAAGAGAGTCGATTGCATGTGGTGGAATGCTGCATGAATTGCTTTCGGTTTTAGATCCGGGAGATGAATTTCATCTTCGAATCGCAGCAAACTGCTACTAATCAACGTTCATTTCATAGTTGTTTTGGCCTCTCTAAAGAGGGAAAAGTAGCACAGATATCGTCTACATCGGTGGGAATCAGTAGGCAGTGATGAAGCAGTAGCAGTAGGCAGCGAATTCGATACAGTAGTGAACCGGTAACCAGTCCGTGTCAGTAGTGAAGGATTTCGGAAGAAACGCGGTGGAATCGAAAGAGCGAATCACGGTAATTAAATCAGTGCCCAGAATCACGTGGACCGTCCGCTACGCGTATGGCTTGGGTCATTACAAAGGACGTGATTTGGGCTTCTATAGCGCATTTGTTTGTAACGGCATGGCAGGAAGTGTACCGGTTCGCCATTTTCAATCTTAATTGATAACTGCCCGAGGAAGCGACCGACAAAACAATAGTCTGCGAGGTATTCCTGGAACTTGTACCATTGCGGCAGGGTGATCCACAGCGTTGACGTCCCAAGATTATTCTGTCTCACATATTCGCGGATATCATTCTTTACTTTGTGATAATTTTCCATGATAAAAGTGGAGACTTTTCTGCCGTGCGTAACCGAGTAGTATTGGTGAAGCGCTTGGCCAAATGCAACCGTACAAGGGCTGCTTATGGATTGGTCGTCTTTTAAATCAGGACGCATAAAATGCTTCTGGTCAAATTCCAGCAGTGGAAACTCGACTCTTGAAAGTCGTATCGGTTTGCTGAAAAGAGTTCGGTGCAGCACATTTCGATGCACAAAACGAGAAATAAAAAATTGTTAATTGCGAAACGATGATATAAAAACAAGGCGATGGTGCCTTTAATAATACCCTTGTTTTCAGCGATCTGATTTTGTTTGACAACCACAAGGAGCAGTCTGTTCTCCAAGCACAAACAGTAAATCGATCCGCTCCACGAGAGGAACTATCGAGAGAAACTACTGAAACAACTAGCTCCCCACTTGACCTCGTTCGTCAAGCAGTCCAGAAAAGCGTGCCTTCGGCGGTCCTCTGCAGTCAGAAGCAATAATAATAATTGCTCTAGAGGACCGTCCACGACAGCCTTCTTGCTGTTGTTCTCCAGTTGAACGGATCGAGGAACCTAAAAACGAGCCTGTCAAGTCGAGAAGCCTAAAAACGGCAGCCTTCCGTTGTTTTAGCCTGTGTAACTCAAATTACCGCAGAAATTTAACAAAAATCGGCAATAGAAGAATTATCCACGAAAGTCAAGGTGCACAAAGAGCACGAGTTTTAAACTGGATTAGGAAATTCGAGTGTGTAAATGGTGAAACATTGTCGCTGAAAGATCTTGGCACATACTGCATTTCCCTACAGCGGCACTGATGTGCTTATCGCAGTCAAACGGCAAGCGGTTGGAAATTAATAAATTTAATTAAATAATGAAAAAGCTAATTTCTTGGTTATTTTTAAGCATGCTAATCAACCCTCTTGTGCTTATATGCTAATGAAAGATAGATTCCAAAACACCGTTGATTTCTTCTCAGAGTGTCATATCGATGAAACTGTATTCACATCCATAAAAACACTGTGGTGAAGGCAGTGAATTGAACGACTGCATGGGTGGCCTCCGAAGCAATGGGACGTGTACACCGACTAGGTTGTTGATGTTAACTAACTGATGGTATGCAGTCCAGAATCAAAAAGCCTGGTCGGCATTATTACTATTACCGGTGTATAGATGCATCCCGATGAAATCACTGACACGAGATATCCACACCACTTTTCCGGGCGCCCTTTTTATTCCTTATCAGTGTTTCATTTCAAAATTTTGCCTATTCTGTTTTCCTTTTTCCCAGCGATTTGTAGTAGTACATTATTTTGAATTTCGTAGTAATCCTTAATAATAATAATAATAATAATAATAATAATAATAATTACATATAGTTGTTACTGTTCTGTTTCATTATAACTATTATTATTAGTTATTATAATTTCATCTTTTCTGCTTCGATTTCTATCACTGTCGTTATTATTATCATATTTATAAGACCAATAAAATTGTAGATTAAAATGTTATTCCATTGCCTTACTTCTCCTTATTATTCCTAATATGCATAAATCATAACGCTTGGTAATTCATAAGTTTATTCCTTCAGATCGATAAGGTACCTCGTTATGGTTTAGGATCAAAATTTAGAGCGGAGTGGTGATGCTCAATATATGCCAGTGACATCCCAAAATGGCTAAATAATTGCCGAGTGACTCCGTTGAGAAAACTGTTGGGCTGGTAATCCTTTCAGGAAAGCGTCAGGATCGTTAGTAGGCTGACCACACGACGATTTGGCATTGGTTAGAGCAGCTGAGGAAGTTGCCAGCTGCATAGTTAGGAGAAACAAAAACTGTCGCTGATTAAAATACCAACTTTCTGTATAACTTTTTTTAACAATGAATAAAAGGAAGCTTAAATTTTTTTTTTGGAGCTTGACGGCGGGCATGGTGCAATGGGAATTAGCAGTGTTATATTGCAAGGACGAGGTTTGAGGGATCGACTCCGCCGCTGGGAAAACGGATTCTTTGATAGTAAACTAGTACTGGAGCATGCCAGGGATTTCAAACCCATCATCAGCTTTCTTTTAAGCAATTGTCGAAAAAGCGCCACCAGTCAGATTACTTTTGATTGCCTCCATCTCCTAAAAAAGATCAAATAGAGAAAAGAAGTTTTGAATTTGGATTCACTTTCCACTTGATAATTATGCGTTTTTGCATATATGCAAATGCGAAAACGCATATTGCGACGACCCCGGTGTGCGTGTTTGTGTGTATTTGTGTGTGTCTGCCCGGGTATTTCAACTCGGCACCAAAGCAAGCTTCGACGCCAAAACTTTGCGAGTGAATTCTCCGGCCAGGTGCCACTCCAGAACCCCGGCACCAACCCTCACGCACGTCTGGACCTCGGCTACGAGTAACTCAAAGTCTTGGCGGGAAAATCGCTGACTTGGGAACGAAAAAAGCTAAAAAGCTGGAATTTTGGGATTGTGCTCCCCGTCCATATAGAACTCAAAGACCTCAGGTGTGCGCGTTTCCCTCGTACGGCCCCGTGAGGGTTGCTGGCGCGAAAGTCGCTAGCTCAGGAACCAGGGAAGCTGGGGGGCTGAAACTTCCAGCGAATATTCCCAGTTCATCTACAACTTAAATTTATCAAATTCAGCCCCCTGTTATGTGTGGTTTTCACGTACGGCCGCGTGAAAATTTTTGGCGAGGGAAGCTGAGAGGCTGAAACCTTCAAGAAATTTTTCTAACTCGTCTACAACTTAAATTTATGAAATTCAGCCCCCCGTTATGGGTGATTGCCACGTACGGTCCCGTGAAATTTTCTGGCTGGAATTTGGGTAACTCGGGAACTGAGAAAGCTGGGAACCTGGGATTCCGAGGGAATGTTACCTGTCCAAGTATGGCGTGGACAAAAAATTTTTCCGAAATTCGAGGACCACTTTGTCAGAGTTTTCTAGCTAGCGGAATTTCGAGTAATCTTATCGCAGCACAAGCACTGCAAAAACGCATGATCGCACGGGCCCGCTCAGTGCGCGTAGCCAATGATTTTTATATCGGGACAATAAATCAGCGCCAGTCAGTTTATTAGAAATTAATGTTCAGTCAGTACAAAATAAAGACAGTTTTACAACGTGCCTACGTCTTCTTCAATTGGTTGCTGAACTCCGCTGATAAGTATGGTGAAGAAGTACCGAAAAGTGTGTCAAATTAGCACATCATGGTTATTCGGCACAAATCCAGATCAAATGGTCAGGCAGCTTTCACGTTTACGGATATATCGGTGGCTGCGAAGGGACGTGATGCGGGCTTTTGGATCGCTCTCTTTTAAAACGACACGGTCTGAAATGTGCTGGCCTGGAATCAACTATCTCGATGGATAGTTGTCCTGCATAACGTCGAACCAATTGATCGCACACGGTATAATCCTGGAACTTATACCAGTGTGGCAGGATAATCCAGTGTCTTGATCCATCCAGTTTATTTTTTCTCACATATTCCTTTATATCGTGCATCACTTTTGCGTGATTTTCCATGATAAAACTAGAGATTCTCCTACCATACGCCACCGAATAGTATTCGTGAAGCGCTTCGCCGCGTGCAGCCGTGTACGGGCTACTTACTGATTCATCTTCTTGCAGATCATAATGCAAAAAATGTTTCTGCTCGAAGCGCAACACTGGGTATTTTTCTCTTGATATGTGTTCCTTAGGCACTACTCTGAAAGACGTTTGACCAGGATGTATTGCCTTTCTGCTCACAAAATGAGAAATCAAAACAAAATAAAGCAAAAACAAGGTAGTAGTGATATTTTAATGATATTTTTTCCCAAAAATCCTAAACAACGGTTTTCAGGAACAGCTGCAAGAAGCAGTCCGCTTTCTGCTCACATGCATCAAGAACGTCTTACTCCACGAGGATAAACTTCCGAAAACTGGATCAGCTGGATTCAAAGTGGACCTCCTCCTTCATCACACATCGCAGAAGAAGAAACTGTCTCCAGCAATCTTCCTATACATCAAAAACGAAAGTAATAACTCGTGATAGAGGAGGGTCTTCAACAACCATCTTCTTCCAGTTTTTATAATCAAACAGAAAAATAATGCTAGCTGAAGAACTTGCATGACGGGTCTCCGTTCCGCTGCAGCCATTGTAATGCAAATTTGCATAGAAAACTAATTAAAATCGACAATGAACAAGCTACGAAGACTGAAATATCAGGATCGGTATATGAACCAAAAGAAATGATATCTTAACATGCCTTTGCATTTTCTAGCGATAGTTAGTAAGTTAAAAGTTAGTTAAATGAAAGGAATGCTTTTTGTCTTGCTTTTAAATATTCTAATTAACTTTTTTCGCGTATATTCAAATGAAAGGCTGCCAGTTGGCCCGGGTTTTACAGTAACGTCAGTGTCCTCAAGATGTCGTATCGGAAGAACCGTGCTCACATTCTCAATTCTACTGTGCTAAGGCAGTAAAATAAGTGACCATTCAGGTGGCTTCAAATAAGTAGTGCGCACATACATCATATAAGTACCATTTGGAAGTATGCAACCTCTAATCGAAGGAGCTGGCGTAGTTGCACTTAGCCTATTAGTAACACCACTTAAAAGGGATGCATATTGACTCTTCGGAGACCTGCTTTTCTTGATATGCACAATATTTGTTAACTCATGCGTCTTTCCTTCAAGTTAGCAGACACTTCGTCGTGGTGATGAAGCTGACGTTCAAGACGAGGTGGGTGCTCAAAAAATATCACTGTCATCTCAAAATAACTAAGGCCGCTCCAGATGCTTTTGCCACAAAAGTCACTGTGCTGGTGGTCGCTTGAGGAGCGGAAACGAACATTAGGATTGCCACCAGTCAGTGTAACTTAAAAAATGCCAGCTGCGTAATTGTGAGTAGTAGACGATGAATTAGAACTCATCAATCTATCATCGTGTTAGAAACCAACAGAGGTGACAACTTTTCGCATTTATTCTGTGCTACCCAATCTTCTTCTAAGACAATGAATCAGCAAATCATTTGCAGACCAGTTGATCGTTCTTCTTTCGGGTATATAGTCAGTGGGCATTTGCCTGATCAAGTTGTTAGTAGTTGTCGGTTCCTTTTGTGGCATTGGGCGTAGCTTGTCGCTCAACGAACTGCCGATAACATTTTCCAAAAATGATTTCCCAGTTCCTTTTTTTTCCAGATTGAGCATCCGGCTACACTTTTTTGTCCACTGAAGTGTTGATTGCATTGTTTTTGGGAATAATTTGATGGCTCCATTCTTTTTCGTAGGAGAAAGGGTAAGGGAGGAGAGATGAGGCAAACTTCTGATTCCATTTGCGGATTTCTGGCAACATTTCTTTTTTCGAATAACTTGTCGGTTTCATTTTTCGAGAATGTATTCCTTGTTCCGTTTTTACCAAACTGAGAATCTGGTTACATTTTTTGGGAATGAGTAGCTAGTTTCATTTCTGCCGTACACCATCCCGATATTTCACCACCAGCTACATGAATTTGCGGCTTCAACGAAACATTTTGCACATTGTAGTATAAGCGAGAATGAGTTGATCAGCAGTTCGGTGAATGACCCGCTGCACGAATACTATCCGACTGGAAACGACACAGAAGGATTTTATTGTTCATCAGTGAAAATTATCAGTTTCAATATCCATCATCATTTGCTATGCTAAGGCGATTTTCTCGGATGAATGAGTCATGATGCCAAGTGCATTCCAGTATTCTATTTGAAGCGATGAACAGGCGTAGTGCCTTCTTCCTCTGCATCCAGTACATATTGCTGTGAACACACTTTATGTGGGCTAGGATCCCGCTTAATTTGAAACAAGCACGGTTTGAAACGCTGTGGCTCGTGGTTGTCGATCTCAATGGTTAGCTGTCCATAATATCTCTCGACAACCCCCTCAGACGCGATATAATCCTGAAATTTGTACCAGTGTGGCAGCGTGACAGTGCATTTGCCCGTACTGACATTGTACTCTTTGATATATGACTGAATATCTGCCATTACTTCACTATAGTTTTCCATGATGAATGTAAAGATCTCTTTATTTTTTTTCCCCCTATAATACAGCTTATTGCCCCATAGTCTTGTATGAGGAGATCGCACCGACTCGTCTTCCCTTAACTCGTAGTGTAGGAAGTATTTCTTCGCAAATGGCAAAAACTTGAAGCGCGGTGTGGTGCATTGCCTCCACATGATTCTTCTGAAAAAAAAACAAATTACAGCGCTAAAAAGTAACTTGAACGGCCGCTTGGGACTACATGGGCGAGAGAGGCCAAAATAAAGAAGGAAGAAGTTGCCAGCTGTATCAAAAGGATGAGCGAAGCCAAAAAGTTCTCCGGTAGTTCCCTCTATCTGTTCGTTACTTCAGTCTGTTCGTATACGTTCATTACCTTCCCGGACAACGCCCGAGCAATCATTTTATTTCCCGCGAATATCTATCAGTTGCTGCTTTGGTACGCGTGCAAGACCTACCGGTTGTCAAGAAAGCGAGCGATGCCCTCAATCATCCCAAAATTTAACTCGGCGTACGACTTGGTGTCATATCCAGGCTTTTCTTCTGCGTCTCATAATTAAGCAGTTTACCGCTAATGCCATGTATGTAGGCAAACATGCTAAACTGACCGAGTGAAAATCAGTAAATTATTAAAATGACTTAAGCAGCAAAAGCTCATTCCTTATATATCGGTGAATTTTAATCCCCATGAGCCGACTAAGTGTTGCGGCAGAGTTAACCCAATAAAATTTGCATAAAACGAACCTGTAAAGCCACAAAACGAGTCGTGCGGTGTGCTGTGATAACTCGACCGAAAAAATATTTATAGAAATCAGCAAAAGAACAGTTGGAAGGCAGCTGATGCGTGTTCGATCCGCCAACACAAATTTGTGGTATCTGGCATGAATGCGAAGACCCAAAACCGAAATCGCTGGATTGTTGCCGGCTATATCAATGGAGAACGTTACGGATATGAGTCAGTGATGAATTGGTAGTAGTTACAAATATCAGGTACGTAAAACTGCACAGTTGTCCTTGCAGCTGTGGGATCAAAATTTCAAATTTTTTTCATATCGATTCACTAACCATAAAATGCGGACACATGACTACGGGTGGCCATAGCCACTCCACAACGCAGTGATCTTCAAAAATGTACAAAAAATTGGGATAGACTAACACGGTAACCAACGGTCATGAAACTCGCGGGACTTAGTTCTCAGCGAAATACAACTAGTCAGTCACGCCAACCTTATGCCTTGTTTCTCCTTCTGTGTTTCATTTTTTAGGTGTCATGAAGTAGTCATCAGAAATTGGGTCATCAATGGGGTATGAAATTTTCACTGGTGAATGGATCTTTGGATATAAAAGCATTACTGTAGTTGGTGTAACTTTGCAGTGTGGGTAATAGAGGATGGTGTCTGCTCTTTCTGCGTATTGGGCGTCAGATTTTTGTTGATTTAAGCTATAATTTTGGGAGTTGTACGCACACATAGAACAGACCGTGGGTACTATCTGGAGGTATGCAGCCCAGGATTGAAGCGTACGCCCTGATCAGTTCAATAGCATTAGTAACACTAATCCGCACATTGTGTCTGGGTCCCTTAGTGTCCTTGGCTTCTCTGCTATCCATTTGCATACTCTGTGCAGCATTTAGCTGCTACTGCAAGAACCGCATATTTTTTCTCGCTACAGTCACGAATGACAGTACAGTCATCTGTGCTTAGCTTGCTCTTTTCCTTTCTTCAGTGTCCACGTTTTGCTTCTGTACGTCACTATTTTCAACGTGATGATAATGCAAAGTGTGATGTGGAACAGTATGAAGATGAAAGCTTTACAATGTATTCAGCACGGCTCAGAACAATGTAAGTTTTGAAACACACATACAATTATCCAGGTACAACTGTTGCGGCAAAAGCACCCAGTACTAAGGAGTCCCTCGTCATATAAAATGGTGCCAACGTAGCATCGGAAATGAGAGCGCTTGGAGCCTGGCGACGGTTTTTGGAAAATCTCGGTTAATTGACCGATGTTCCACAGTTCAGCACTACTTATCCAATGTTAAAAACAACAACTAAGGCGCTTTTGCTGCACTGTTCGAGCGAAAATCTCCGTCAGGATTGTTTCCCATCACCTTTTTGTCCTCCTTCGATATCCAGCACACTTTCTTTTACCGATTGCTTAGGACTTATCTGCGGCGTTGTGTTTTGCAGCTCTTTTCCAGAAACTATCTGCGTGTCTTTCCCAGAAGCTTGCTGTGTCTCTTTCCCAGAAGCTAACTGTGCGTCTTTCCCAGAAGGTGACTGTGCAGTGTTAATGGCTGCTGGCGGAACTTCTTTGGTTTTTGGGGCAGTAGACGAATCAGTGCCAGCGGTGGGCGCTGTTTCTGCTTTTACGGAGACCAGCACGGGTGCTTTTATTCTGCGATGTTCTCTGCGAGCCCCGTAGCGTGGAATGTAGTGGCGATAACGGAGTGCAAAGTAAATTGCTGTCATAGCAAGTAGCCAGAGAAGAATGCTGATCACTGAGATGCATGCCCAGACCACTCGTGCTGCAAGTTCAGTTAAGCTTACTTAAACTGTTCAAAGCAGACTTCGGGAATGCCAACAAATCATACGAGGTAATTTTGTGAAGTCCTCGGTGTGGCGAAGTGGCTGTGCGAGAAAGGGAAGAATGGCGGGGGTAGGAGCAAAAATCGTTATTTTGGTAAACGGGGTACAAACACTGCACAGCGATAGAATTAAGATAAATGGGTTCTGGAAAAGAAAAATTTCACGGAAAAGCGGAAATGTTGTAGAAAGAGCAAAGAATTTTGCCATAAATACTACCAGCGTAACTTTTCAAAAGCATCAAGGCAACGGTGTTAATCGTAGGTGTTTAAAGTGCTTTAAAAGAAGAACTAAATGATTGCAAAATTAGCACTAAAACGCCAAAAAAATTGCTTTGTAACAGGCATAGTACAAAAGCAGGATCTATTTTGGACAGGTAGGACTGGAATCAGTAACAGCATTTCGATGGTAGGCTGACTACCGGACAATGCAGTCGGAAGAGTTGCAACTGTAATAATTGAAAAACTTAATTATGAATTGCAGCTCATTACTGGCCAATGGAAGGTACGCAGAAGTTCAGTTTTAAGCGTAGGAAAGTTTAATAGTTGTTGTTTGTTAATAGACTGTAAAACCTGAATCTCAAAAATCTGTTTGCAAGCGCACAGTTTGAGGAAAATTTTTATTTTGGTACTGAAGACTTGGATTTAGAACTGGCCATATTATAGGCAAAAGTAAAAGAGTCCTTATGTTGTCAGCAGAATGGTGGTAACATTTTTTATTTAATACATATCTGATGCTGGTTGAAAAACTTATATATAATAAAAGTAACAACCATTTCAGAGTGATAATGGTGTCACTTTATGTCTGATATATCTAATTTAGTGATAATATCATTTTGTATGGGCTGTGGGTATGTAGCGCAGCATCAAAGGGCCTGTCGTAGTTGCATCCAGCGTATAGACCATTCCAGTAACATCACTAACACGAGAAAACCATTACTGGTGGCATAGGTGGTTTTGATATTTTGAGTATATCCAATAAAAAAATAAAAATAATAACTGATAACAGTAGTAATAATTTTAACAATAATTCACGATGCCTTACCCATTTTATATGTTATTCGGTGCCCCTTCCGTGCCGCTTGTATAAAACCTCGTGGATATATGGCCGTTAAGGCAGCAACTGCTCCTACCAGAACTCGAGCCAATCCATGCAGAAGCTGCAAGAAAATGCAGGTTGAGAAAATATTCCCAGCAACACTTCATGGATGAGTGCCGCCGAATTCCCTTACTGGACGAAGCAGTTGCAGCAGCCCAACTGCCGTGCTTGCAGCAGTCAAGGTGCCGCAGGAGATGAAAGGTATTTGAGTGCAAAAAACCATCTAGAACTGAAACATCCATTGCAAATAGCTCAGCTCGCCTCTGATGTATTTTTTGAAAATGAATTTGCATACTGCAGTTTGTACTGGAGCAAAAATTTGTTGTTTTTTTCGTTCTCTATTTAGTATTTGGAAAAGTAACTAACTTTATCGTTACGTGTAAATTTTTTACTCACATGCAAGTTTTTTTCCGCTCATTGGTTTATCACTTATTCATGGCATATGGTCTTCTTTTAAGTACAGCAGTGGCCAAGAGAGTAGAAATGTTCAGGATGAAGTGGCGGTGCTCACCACAAACTGTATTTGTCGAAAGAACCATTGAGCTGGTAATTTCTTTCGGAGACGGGAAAAACTCAGGATCGCCAACAGGCTAATCACCGGTCGATGCAGCACAGAGGAAATCGAAGAAGTGTCAATGCAAATCAAAGTATCAACCCTACAAGTTTTTATTATAACTTATTATAACTTATTCTTTGTCTCATTGCTTTAAGGCTGAGAAAAAAACAAATTTTTTTGAGAGCTAAAAAGTCGAAATGAAGTTAAGAAATTAGGCAATTTAGGCTAAATTCAGTTTTCTGTTGTCCAAAGCACCATGTACCCAGTGCTATCATCCCCATTTTATGCAGAGGTAACTATATAGAAATGGCACTGAAGCAGGCTGAAGGAGATAGAAGTGAAATAGTTGAAGCAAAAATTGTACATCAGAAGTAATAAGTCCAGAAGAGAAACCTACCATGCCGATCATGTAGAAACACAGGAGGTCTCTTCGTGCCAGAGTGATAGCAGCGATCAGCAGAAGCAGGATGAACAAAACCACCACAGATTCCAGTACACAGAGTATCAGGGTTGCTGCATGGGCGTTGAAGACAACTATCACCAAAAGATTTGTGCCAATTGCAATGCTGCAGTCCACACAACCAGTTATCAAAGCTTTGAGCTGAAAATTACACTCTTACCGACATTTCTGGACCAACTCCATCACCATCGGATCAACCCCAAAAAATACCCAGCCACTTTCGGGTCATTTTAGATCATCTCATATTATAGCCATTTTTTCTCCGATCACTTTCGAGATGCAGCTTCAAATCAGAGCCAGTTCTGTTTCAAGTCATTTTCGAATCAGTAGCAGCTACCTTCGGGTCAGTTTTCAAGCCGATTTTGCTTCGGGTTACTTCCGGGTCAATTACCAGTTATCTTTCAGTCATTTCTAGGTCATCTTCAGATCCGAACCAGCTTTGCCTCATTTCGATTATTAACAATTTCAATTTATCCAATATGACACAGTTTTAAGCTGTAATTCATAGTGTATCAAAATTTAAGATCAGTTTTCTGCTAACTTTGGCCAGTTTTCAGAAAATTTTTTAGCCAGTTGGAATTAATTAGAGATTAATTTTTAATAGTTCTGGTAATTTCCTGCATCTCTTTTTTAAATCACACACTACAGTACACCAGGAAAGCAAGAAGTCTGTTTTTCTGCATCAGCTTTAAAATAGCTTTACTTAGTAACATATAAGTAACATGGGATACTCACACTGATAACCCGTGTAGCCCTGGTTCTTTTGATATATATGGAGCACTAGTTTTGCCCCCGGAAAGCATTGGCGTGGTTTTTTTTTCTATAAAGTACGTTTCATGTTTTTGTCTTTTTTAAAATTCATTAATAATTTAAACATTTTTTAAATCAATTTTTACGGTAATTTTGTTGTGACAGATTCATCTGAAGAAAAATGTTTGTCAAATAAGTGGCACTCATAAAATCGTCTTGACTATGGTAGTCAAGATATGTTGTTTCTTTTGCTAACAACCGCCACATATGGCATAGCAGTTAGTAGTGGTACTCATGAAAAAAAAAA